AAAAGAAAAGAAGTGAAAGGCTAAACAAGGAGCTTCCAGTAAAGTAAATGGCATTGAAAATAACATGATAAAATAATTGAAGATGAAATTGAAGTGAGAGAATGCTGGAATAAGTATTTTCAACATTTACATGATAATTATAATAAAATATCAAATAATGAAATAAATATTATGCTAGTGTCCCAAAAAAGTAGGAAAAAAGTCTAAATGCTTTTTTTTTTAAAGTAAGGTTGTTCCTGCTGCACTTGGAGAAATATAAAAATAAAGATCTGGTTTTGTAATAGAATGGCTATGTAAGTTGTTTAATATTCGTAACAGCAGCACCATAATCCCTGTTGATTAGAAATGTTTGGGTATATATAGAAAAAGTTAATAAATAATCCACAAGGTGATTAATTTTACTGATCTGAAATGGCCAGTTATGCAAATTGAATAAAATACATTTGTTAACAGTGCTCAAGAAAGTATTTGGCAGAATTTGACCAAAAGAGTGTTTAAAAAAAAGGTGACACTAACCAAAATGTGGTATATTATGTCATCAGGAGATGCACTGATGAGATTTTTCCTTTTCAAAAGTGAAATGTATGAATGTGAGAAACTACATTAACTTTAACTCAGTTCCTCCATTAGGCAGGCCCATCTAGTCATTATCTGTGCTACAGTTTCTAATTAACACTAATTAATAAAGAAGAGAGCATTCTTCATCCTGTGTAATAATCTTCTCACTGAGATCCTAGTATAGGATTTCTGTCTTTTGAAAACATACAAGGCCACTTTGAATGTATTCAAGTCATCTCATATTCTTAACCAGCTCTTCTTGTATCATGGGGTTTAAATCATTCTGACCATATGACTTTCTTTTTATTTAAAAGTTACTATATTTTGCTTTATTTTTATAATAGAGAATTATTTAAGCATTAATATCATTGGTATGACACAAATACATAAAAAATGTAGGCAAAATTTTGTCCCTTGAAAGGAAAAGGGAGAATGAATATTCAACTGGCCTATTTGTAGCAAGAAATAGAACAGCCCATATTAATATATTTTTACTGGAATACAGATGGTGGGTAAAAAGGCACACTTAAAAAAAATCAAAACCAGTAGAAGCCCATATATTTCCTCACATACTGTCAACCAAATATGTATGTTCTTATTGTGGATGAGATTAATATTTTTCTTACAATGTTTGTTTGTTTGACAAGTTCCATTAACCTGGATTGCAAGAGATTATTTTCCTTGGTCAAAGTTGCATAATCACCCGCTATTTTACTTCTTAAGAGATGGTCCTGTTCTGCCAATAGCTCTCGTTCACGAATTTGATGGTGCAGAAATGATATCTCATTCCTACAGTAATAAAAAAATACGATTTCCACAGTTTGCTATCATTCTGATGCCATAGGCCACAATTCTGCATCATTCCTAATATTATGAGAATTGTTGTCTATTGTTGAAGACAGAAATGCATGACACGTGTAGCTAGGTGAGGTGTGTTTGTGTGTGTGTGTACACACACATGCACAGAATTATTTAAAAAGGCACAGAAGAATCAAAAATAAAATAAATAAAACAAGTAATAGAGCTTCATGGAAGATTAATAATTAGAACTTAATACAGTATAATCAGATTCAAAACGTCCATGAAACACAGTGCCTCTGCCAGTCATATAAATACTATAAAAAAAAAATGTAAAGCATGATAGTCTCAGTAGAGAATTCTGTAATTATAGGGTTCTACTTGAAAAGATTTAATTTCAAACATTTACCATAGTTTCCTAGTCAAGCCTCCAGACAAAACCTCAATATGCTAAATCTAGTGGGAGGAACTATTAATGAATATTTTTTCTGTGCTTCTAGCACTAATACTATAACAAATTAACAATTTAAGTAGGGGTTCGCACCAGTTATAAATACTTGCAAGGTTGAATATGATATTAGTTTATCTAGCCTTCATTTTCTCCAAAATTCATTAATTAGTACCGTAATTCACGAGCAATTTGATCATGCATTGCTGCTGTTTTCTTAAGGATTTTTCCTTCCATTTCATGTACAGCAGACTGCATTTCCAAGAATTCCCTTTTCTTTTCAGAAAGCTGCAACTCCATTGCCTTTTGCCGCTCCAACTGTTGCGTCCCCTTGATTTAAATATAACATGTGGTAGCAGATAAATATTCTACAGAATTGTAATTCAAAAATAGTTGAGGGTCATTTTATCACAGAACAAGATTCATGGAATAATTAATCATATATCTAAACTTAAACTTTGAAATTCTTGCTTTTTTTGTTTTTCAAATATTTACAAATAACTTTTCCAAAGGAGGGAGGGAGGGAAGGAAGGAAGGATCTTTTTAACAGGAATATCTAGATAGATTTCATCATAATGCTATCTGTCTTTCCAGGATAAGAACTCTGAAATACCCCGAAAATGAGAGAGAAAAATACAGGATAATATTCTTGTTTGTTTATATAAAACTCCACAAGGAGATATGTTTGATATTACATGCCCAGTTCAGTTTAGAAAATAAGGTAATATGATCTACCATAGATCCTAGGAGCTCTTGCATACTACGAATAGTATGCTATCTGATTTATCAAGCATTAAAAGATTTTGTCTTCTAACAACTGAGGCCATTACTGTCTCACAAAAGGCTGAATATGTTAGATCGGGCGAACAGAGAAGGCAGACTCAGGCTCATTAACAACAGCTCTTTATTCAGTGATTGCTACCTACAATCCAGTGAAGGTTCTATCTGGTAGCAGCCTTTTTATAGAGCTGCGGCAGGGCCTTTGGCCAATCAGATTTAAATGAGTTCCTGCTGGTAGCAGAAGACATTGGTGGAAACTACATGCATTCAAGGTACTTAAGATATGCAAAATACTTAATACTTAACATAATATATATTGCTTCTCTTGTCACAGTTCTCAAAACATTTGTTCCATGACTTGCAGTAATGCAGAAGTAAATGGAAGAATAGACTTGTTTATACAGGGGACGAAAAATGTGGCAACAATAGAATATGATGTCAGAATTTGCTTTCAATGGCTTTGTAAGGAAAGTCTTTTCTTTTAATTGTCTTAGAAGACTGTAAAGGAACTTTGTGTGTTTAGAAGAATTTTTCTTCCCTAGTCAAAAAGTGTCTCTGAACATTGATGACATGAAATAGAAGGAATCCTACCCAAGGAATGTTTTTTTGCTTTTGTTATTCACCAACCTGGCATTCAAAAACAATAGCAGAACTCCAGGATCAGATTGTCTGACACATAGGAAGTCAAGAACTGGACAACAGACCAACAAACAGCAAAACCAGTGTCTGAGATTATGATTCACACTCAGATCCCCACCATATCTCAGTCTGCCCACTGCTATTGAAATAGTCCAGCTTGCTCCCTCAGCATCCCAGCCTACTCCCACTCCTCATGACATTACTCTATTAGCCATAAACATATTTACAGAAATCCAATTGGTTCCTGTTTCCCAAGTTTGCCAGCCTCATAGGGCTTGACAGAAACAATGATGGCCATTATGAATGCATACACTTATTAGACAAATGAAATATAAATTAAAGTCTTCCAGCTCTATAATTCTGTGTATATATTACTGTTTTTAGAAAAAAAGAGATCAATCATATTAGAATGTGATAAACTATAAAATAACTAATACCTTTGTTTTTAGCATAAGGATAGTTTGTTCTTTGTTTTTCAGATTCATTTGTTGTTCTTCCAGTTCCTGCTTAGCATATGAGATCTCAAATTGTTTTGCCGAGATTTGCTCATCTTTCTCTGCTTTCTTTCTCTTCCATTGTCTGATTTCATCTATCAAACCCTGTTTCTCTTTTAAATACTGCTCTGAAAGTAGAATTTATAATGAAATTCTTGTCAGCATGAGATAATTAATGCTTTTCATACTTTTAATAAAAAGCTCACTTTGGTTGTGATCAAATTAACATAGTTGTAGATTAAAATTAGATTAAATTAACTCAGAACTTCAAAACGTTTAGCACAAAATTAGATATAGAATCCATGGAAAAATGAGGAAAAGGACATTTTGTCATGAATAAATAATTTATTTTGTGCATTATCTATTTTATCTATTCATAGGGAAATAAACAACTAAACTGGATGTTTTGTCTGATTGATGCAGGGGCGGTTTTCTCGCCCCGTTCCAACCGGTTCGGTTGGAACGGGGCCGGTGGCGTCCTTGAGCACGCGCACAGTGCACGCATGCGTACTATCATCTGTGCGATGCTCCAGCTGCTCCTGGAGGATCGCGCAGGCGCTGTATGTGTCCTGTGCATGCGTGAAAGCGCAGAACTCGTCAAAACTGGGTAAGAAATGCGGGTGGGCGGGTGGACCCTTCAGCGTTCCCGGAAGTTACTTACTTCCGGGTTCGCCGACCAACCAGTTCGCGGGGACCGCCGCAAACCGCCTGAAACCCACCCCTGGATTGATGTCATGGGGATGGTTATGGTAGACTTCTGCAGCAAAAAAAAAGGTCCTATAACNTTCCTATCAGTGGACCGCTTATGGTTCAAGCTAGTACTTTGGCATGAGCAACCGACGGAGCCTTGCGGGACTCTCAACTTTCTTTAAAAAATCCCCAGCGCTGAGCCATTCAAGGGACCTCACCCCCCCCCCCAAATGTATCTCAAAACAAGACGCGGGTTCTACTTCCGAACCTTCGAAGATCCACAGAAAAGAAGCAATGATTTATTCGAGAACTCCGCGCCTTTCTCTCCCATCGATTACGATTGTTTTGCAAGAGGAAAGTTCTTTTCAGAACTTTCTCTGCTTATTGCAACCAGAGTAAGAGGTCTAAGCTTTGGGTGAGGATTGCCACCCACTCCTCCCTCCGAAAAAAAACACCACCAAGCGGAAAGCGAATGCGGAGGGGAGGGGGGGGGACAGAGAGGCTGGGGGGGGACAGAGAGGCTGGGAATCTCTGACAAGAAGAATGTAAACAAACGCACGCAGCTTCCCCAGTAGGACCAGTAAGCCACGCACCTTGCGCCTGTGTTTCCATCGTCCCACCGGCACTTCACTGGCAGTGCTTCACCGCGGAGAAGACCCAGCGGAGGGATCCGCGTCCAAAACGCGTCCGCTTCTACGCCGCGATTACTGCTTCTGGTGACCATCGGCGGCTCCGGCTTCGACGCGTTTGCCCGTGCTATGAGGCAGCGCCACCTGTCGGCCTTTTGTCCGCTCTGTCACAAGACCTCTGGGGTTTTATTGGGTTTTATTTCCCCCTGCGCGGACGCTTTTTTGGGGAAGAGGATATCGTCACAAGTTTCTCGAAAGCAAATCTGTTTTTCTTCCTTTACCCGATGCCGGATTTAGGCATGAACTAAGCAAATTACAATTTAGGATGTTACAATCTGAAGGGCCTCACAACATTTCAATGTTGAGTTGGGGTTTTTGTTTGGCTTGTACAATGTAGTGTGGCTTTTTATGTGTACTGTGATAAATATTTTGAGACCAAATTTTCTCCTGATTTCGAGATTACAACGAACGGAACTTTTGAGAGCAGATCCCAGAAAAAAAATGTATTTTTCACCTTATTAGGTACATGTTTTCAATTGGGGATGGGATGACAAGTTCTAGTTTGACACACACATTTATGGTGTGACTTTTTAACAAGGGGCTCACCAAATCTAAATTCAACACTGCCTTTACCTACTCAGAGCTTAGTGATCAGTTTTGTTCCATGGAGTTTTAACCCTTGCTCAGTTATATGAAATCTGTTAGGCAGTTTGAAGTTTTATTTGCTGCTGCTGCTGCTCTGTTCTTTGCATGTAGTTACCTTCTTGCTCTGTGGCAGTTCTTCAGCAAAAATACCCAAATGTTATTGCCTTGCCTTTTCATAGATTGTATATCTAAGCTGTTTGTAGAAATCAGTTTCTAGGCCATTGGGATTCAGCAGCTGAACAGAATATAAGGAACAAATGTTCATACATGCAGTAAGTATTAAATGATTAATTAGGCAGCCTATTAATACTAAATCATACTAAAACATGGTTCACAAAACCATGGGGTTGGATTGATGGATCATGCTAACACCCAAACAAGTATGCTATATTACAGTTTACTAAATATAAACTATAGTGTAGTATTGGTAGTACATAGTTAACTGTATTGGTATCTTGTTGTAAGTATAGCATAAGTGTTTGCCTTAAATATGGCCTCTAACTTTTTCTGTACAGTCAAATGCTTTTAAAGCTAAGACCAAGTAGGTTAAGGAACAAGTTACAAACTTTATATGGTGTCATAATTTTTCTTTTCATGGCTTCTTTTTTCTAAGCTAACCAATGTATTCTTCACTTTAGGCATCTGAAATGGTAACTGAAATTTGCTCACAAACCAGCTTTAAATCTGAATTTACCTATGAATTATGAATGGCTTTCTTGGATGTTAGTAGTTAGTAGTTTTCTCTGTGTCACAAAAGAGAAAATGATGTGCAAATTATTTTAGAAAAAAAGGTTGTGAACGAGTTTCCCATACTTAGAAATGAGATGCAAATTACCAACTGTGGAAGGATCATTGAAGATGTGATTGCAACATAGTGCAATATTGATGGAAAACTGGATCCAAAGACTTGGAAATTTATTTGCAAACATACCCCATAACACAGAGAAACAAAGGCAACTTAAAAATAGCAAGAGAGCAGAAGACAAGAACAAAAGAATTGGACCAACACAATTATGTTTGCCAAAGGCCCAAATAAACAGTGAGGTCTTCAGAGCTCTTTAAAACCCTAGCAGTGTGGCAGCCATCTGGATATTAAGAACCATACTTTGACATGTTTTGAACAATGCAGTATAAATCTTTATTTATTTTAAAGAAGTACAAACAGAAAATATCTGATCAACCTGTGTGCTACACCGTATTTATACCGTATTTTTTGGAGTTTGACACACCGGAGTATAAGATGCACCAAGGTTTTGAAGAAGCAATTTTTTTAAAAAAGGTAGGTAGATAGAGGGATAGAGGGTGAGAGAAAGAGAGAGAAATACAGTAGATAGGTAGGGAGAGAGAGAGAGAGAGAGTAGTTAGGTAAGTACAGGGATAGAGAGAGAGAGAAATACAGTAGATAGGTAGGTGTTTCTGCTGGCACAGCACTTGATCAATGTAATTCTCATCAATCAGTTAAAGAGCTTTCCAAAAGAAAAAACTTTTTTTTTGCACTCTACAAACCTTCCCAAAACGGCTCGTTTTTCACGAAAATGGGCCTTTTTTTTTAAAAGGCATGAATAGCCTTGGAGGGGCTTGCAGAGTGCTCGGGGGGGTGGGGTGGCGGCCAAAAACAAGCAAAAAAGGGCCCGTTTTTCACAAAAACAGGCCTGGTTTTTGTCAAAAATTTGCATGCATAGCCTTATGGAGGTTTATAGAGTGCTGCTAGGGGCTGGGGGGCTCATTTCTGCCCTCCCCAGCCCCCAGGAGCTCTCTGAAAGCATCCATAAGGGTATGTATGGCAATTTTGGTGAAGAGACGGGGATTTGGGAGGCAAAAAATGCTGTATTCAGTGTATAAGACACATCTAGATTTTCAGCCTCTTTTTAGAGGAAAAAAGGTGTGTCTTATACTCCGAAAAATACGGTATATGTGTGGTGTGTTTGTGTGTGTGTGTGTATATACAGAGAGAGGGGTATGGAGGGGGGGTGTTTCAAATTGACTGTAAGTGCAAGATTTCTTGAGTGAAAGAAATCACCATCACTATAAAAAAGAATCTCAACATGATACACTTAAGACCAGATTACACACAATCATTTAATCAAAGGTTAGTCCAGACAAGAAGCATACCCAGAAATACTAACTCCATCTTTATGGTAATGTTAAATTTACAGAATCTTGTGAGCCTGAACATATATCACCCTTCCTTCTCTTTACATCTAAACAAACTAGAAAGAATCCCTTCTAAAATTTGCCATGCCCCTGTGCTAAGGATATATAAAGCTTTCTGATTTTTTGATGTTCTAATACCATATTGTTTCTTAATGTGAACTTCTTGGAGGCAGACTATGTCCATACTCAGTCTTTGTAGTTTTATCACCGTTTGTTTACTTTTTGCAGGGGAGTTCAATCCATTAATATTGATTGAGAGCACCTCGATTTTGTTGCCCATGTTGTTATTTATATATGTCTCAGTTTGGTTGTCCTTGTCTCTCTGTATTTAGGAAGAAGGCTTCCTTTTCCATTTCTAGAAGGACGATTGTCTCTTCCCTATTGGCGGGGATGTGTTTTTGTTCCATTGCTTCCATTTTCATTTCTGTTCCGCTTTTATTTCCACCATTTGTATTATCTGTTCAATCTTGATTATTGTTTGTTGAATNCTATAAAAAAAAAATGTAAAGCATGATAGTCTCAGTAGAGAATTCTGTAATTATAGGGTTCTACTTGAAAAGATTTAATTTCAAACATTTACCATAGTTTCCTAGTCAAGCCTCCAGACAAAACCTCAATATGCTAAATCTAGTGGGAGGAACTATTAATGAATATTTTTTCTGTGCTTCTAGCACTAATACTATAACAAATTAACAATTTAAGTAGGGGTTCGCACCAGTTATAAATACTTGCAAGGTTGAATATGATATTAGTTTATCTAGCCTTCATTTTCTCCAAAATTCATTAATTAGTACCGTAATTCACGAGCAATTTGATCATGCATTGCTGCTGTTTTCTTAAGGATTTTTCCTTCCATTTCATGTACAGCAGACTGCATTTCCAAGAATTCCCTTTTCTTTTCAGAAAGCTGCAACTCCATTGCCTTTTGCCGCTCCAACTGTTGCGTCCCCTTGATTTAAATATAACATGTGGTAGCAGATAAATATTCTACAGAATTGTAATTCAAAAATAGTTGAGGGTCATTTTATCACAGAACAAGATTCATGGAATAATTAATCATATATCTAAACTTAAACTTTGAAATTCTTGCTTTTTTTGTTTTTCAAATATTTACAAATAACTTTTCCAAAGGAGGGAGGGAGGGAAGGAAGGAAGGATCTTTTTAACAGGAATATCTAGATAGATTTCATCATAATGCTATCTGTCTTTCCAGGATAAGAACTCTGAAATACCCCGAAAATGAGAGAGAAAAATACAGGATAATATTCTTGTTTGTTTATATAAAACTCCACAAGGAGATATGTTTGATATTACATGCCCAGTTCAGTTTAGAAAATAAGGTAATATGATCTACCATAGATCCTAGGAGCTCTTGCATACTACGAATAGTATGCTATCTGATTTATCAAGCATTAAAAGATTTTGTCTTCTAACAACTGAGGCCATTACTGTCTCACAAAAGGCTGAATATGTTAGATCGGGCGAACAGAGAAGGCAGACTCAGGCTCATTAACAACAGCTCTTTATTCAGTGATTGCTACCTACAATCCAGTGAAGGTTCTATCTGGTAGCAGCCTTTTTATAGAGCTGCGGCAGGGCCTTTGGCCAATCAGATTTAAATGAGTTCCTGCTGGTAGCAGAAGACATTGGTGGAAACTACATGCATTCAAGGTACTTAAGATATGCAAAGTACTTAATACTTAACATAATATATATTGCTTCTCTTGTCACAGTTCTCAAAACATTTGTTCCATGACTTGCAGTAATGCAGAAGTAAATGGAAGAATAGACTTGTTTATACAGGGGACGAAAAATGTGGCAACAATAGAATATGATGTCAGAATTTGCTTTCAATGGCTTTGTAAGGAAAGTCTTTTCTTTTAATTGTCTTAGAAGACTGTAAAGGAACTTTGTGTGTTTAGAAGAATTTTTCTTCCCTAGTCAAAAAGTGTCTCTGAACATTGATGACATGAAATAGAAGGAATCCTACCCAAGGAATGTTTTTTTGCTTTTGTTATTCACCAACCTGGCATTCAAAAACAATAGCAGAACTCCAGGATCAGATTGTCTGACACATAGGAAGTCAAGAACTGGACAACAGACCAACAAACAGCAAAACCAGTGTCTGAGATTATGATTCACACTCAGATCCCCACCATATCTCAGTCTGCCCACTGCTATTGAAATAGTCCAGCTTGCTCCCTCAGCATCCCAGCCTACTCCCACTCCTCATGACATTACTCTATTAGCCATAAACATATTTACAGAAATCCAATTGGTTCCTGTTTCCCAAGTTTGCCAGCCTCATAGGGCTTGACAGAAACAATGATGGCCATTATGAATGCATACACTTATTAGACAAATGAAATATAAATTAAAGTCTTCCAGCTCTATAATTCTGTGTATATATTACTGTTTTTAGAAAAAAAGAGATCAATCATATTAGAATGTGATAAACTATAAAATAACTAATACCTTTGTTTTTAGCATAAGGATAGTTTGTTCTTTGTTTTTCAGATTCATTTGTTGTTCTTCCAGTTCCTGCTTAGCATATGAGATCTCAAATTGTTTTGCCGAGATTTGCTCATCTTTCTCTGCTTTCTTTCTCTTCCATTGTCTGATTTCATCTATCAAACCCTGTTTCTCTTTTAAATACTGCTCTGAAAGTAGAATTTATAATGAAATTCTTGTCAGCATGAGATAATTAATGCTTTTCATACTTTTAATAAAAAGCTCACTTTGGTTGTGATCAAATTAACATAGTTGTAGATTAAAATTAGATTAAATTAACTCAGAACTTCAAAACGTTTAGCACAAAATTAGATATAGAATCCATGGAAAAATGAGGAAAAGGACATTTTGTCATGAATAAATAATTTATTTTGTGCATTATCTATTTTATCTATTCATAGGGAAATAAACAACTAAACTGGATGTTTTGTCTGATTGATGCAGGGGCGGTTTTCTCGCCCCGTTCCAACCGGTTCGGTTGGAACGGGGCCGGTGGCGTCCTTGAGCACGCGCACAGTGCACGCATGCGTACTATCATCTGTGCGATGCTCCAGCTGCTCCTGGAGGATCGCGCAGGCGCTGTATGTGTCCTGTGCATGCGTGAAAGCGCAGAACTCGTCAAAACTGGGTAAGAAATGCGGGTGGGCGGGTGGACCCTTCAGCGTTCCCGGAAGTTACTTACTTCCGGGTTCGCCGACCAACCAGTTCGCGGGGACCGCCGCAAACCGCCTGAAACCCACCCCTGGATTGATGTCATGGGGATGGTTATGGTAGACTTCTGCAGCAAAAAAAAAGGTCCTATAACATCTGAAAAATACCTGTGGTGGTTTTAACCAATGATTCAAACATGCTGGTTTGTGGATAATTGGTAAACCATGGAACCCACAAGGTTATTTGATGCAAATTTTCTGTATTAACAGGCCAGAACCTATTGGTGACACAGCAATGTCAACAAAATAGAAGATTTTGTTCTCTGTAGTATTAATGCCCTAAATGTGATTTAGTTCCATCTCTTTTTAAGTGTCTTTTAAGTAAGCAAGGACTGGTGGCCAATGTGCTAGTGAATGAGAGCTGCTATTCATCTGCTGTCTTATATATCATACCAAGTTAAAATTTGGTTTGCCTATTTGTATCTTGGTATGATATCTAAGTTCTGATAATTGTGGATTAGTTAATAAATCATGATTAAATAAGTACTTCAGATTTACTGTAACTACTGATTTACAACACAAGTCTGTACAATGCCACTACTTAGAACACTACTTTTCTCCATTTCTCCTGAAATTGACATACCATATATAATTGATAGTAATACCTGACTTGTTCCTAGATTCATTCTGTCAGAGCACCCTCTAGTGGAAAGCATTAATAAGGCTCCATCTTTTCTAAACCCAAAGACTCAACAAACAAGACTGTTTTATTTAGAAATCAAGGGAGCAGATTTTAGTTCATCTCCACTTCCTGTATTTGAACTGCCCTTTGAAGACTAATTTACAATCCGCTATTCAACACATCCATATTTTCTTTTAGAATTTGGTCTGCCTAATTGAAAGTAAGAAAGAAAACATACTACTATTTCCTGAAGATATCATTTAAAGCAATAATATACATATTTACCATAGGATAGTGCTATTTTGAAAAAAAAAGTGTCACCTGAAGCTTAACTGAAATATTATTTGGCTTTTTTTAAATGGGCATTGTCAGCAGTCAACAGTTTCAATAAGCTATATTCATTATGAATTTAGAATGAAATTAAAAATCTGTCTTCGTCTGTCTTTCCTTCTATATTTGCTGTTTGGCTTTCTTGTCTGCTTAAATAATTGTTAAATAATAAGCATCTGCAAGATAGTGAAAATATTGCCAGTAGTTCTTTAAAATAATCTTTACTATGTCTTTACTAAGGCTATGCCTTGATGATAAATTCACGATGCTGCACACCTTACAGAGAAAATAATGATTATAGTACTATTATCTAGAAAAGATTTTTTCCCCAAGCACAGTAATTATTAGAATTTATTAGAGGTTAAAGTATCTTGAATGGTTTTAGTAAAGTTTCTTATTCTTTATAATTTCAAAAGAACAATACCATAGCTGGACATATGCAACACTTTTTTTCCTCCTTTTAGTAAGAGGTTTGGAGATTTTTTTGCAATGAAAATGATTTGCAATAAAATTTTCTGAGCCCTTCACACACACACACTGAAATTAGAAGTTAAAAAAAATACAAATGTTTATTAAATTTTAAAAAATAGTACCGTGGGAAAAACTAGATAATTTTGATAATGCTGAAAAAATGATTACCATTAGCCATACTGATTTGATTATTAAGTTGATTTCTTTCCATCATCAAAATATTTAAACCATCTTTCTTTCGCTTCAGCTCCAGATCAAGGTTATCAGCCTTACACTGCATTGTCTATAGAACAATAAAAATACAGTTAGTTATAGTTATAAAGTTGTAGTTACCCTGAAATAACAGAGAAGTTGAGTTCATTTTAAATACATGTTCTAATAAACTGGATTTCAGACCTCCTGTAATATTGAAAAATATTTTCATACGGGAATCTTCGACTTTCGACTGTAATGAGCCTAGCAATTCCAGTTGTAAGTTGTGACAGTCGTAAAGTTGGATCATGAAATAACTAGACTCAATTTTACAACCTTTTTGTGGTGGTTGTTAACCACATGCAACATTAAGCAAACTCATTGTTCATTGGTGGTTTTTTTCCAACAACAAAATGTAAATACCAGCTTCCAAGAAAAAAAATATCATAGTGATCACAAGGCACTGCAAACAACTCTAAATGTGGGGCAGTTGCCAAGCATCTAAAATGTGGTCACATCATAACCTCAGAAGTGGATTATATGTATGTTTTAGAGTTCCATTAACTTTGAATGATCCACTAAGTGACTGGTCATATGTTGAGCACCTGTACATATATTTAAATGCATTAGTTGGTAGTTAGTCTGATGTTTTCCTTGTGTTTTCATTTTTGTTAGCAAGTACTCAATTCACAAACAGATTAGTCCTTTCACTTTCCTCTATTAATAACCCACTAAGTATAAGTAAATATGCAAAGAATTACTTTGCCATTAGTTGTCAAATGGAGATAAAAATTACCTGTAGGGTTTGTAGCATATGTTCCATTTCACATGCAAGGAGAGGCTGAGTATTAATTGCTTTTTTAGTCTGCTCCCGAGTAATGACAAAAAGTTAAGGCAAAAGGATGAAATATCAACTAAATAACTTTAAATAAAATTTTAAATAGAAAACAACTGAGCAATTCTCATTCGGTTCCACATTAATAAAATATCCGAGTCCAAAGTTACAAATAATCTTTTGAATATCCTACCCCTATAATTCTTTAAGTCATATGTTTTAGTTAACCATACTCAGAAATGCAGAGGATATAGAAACTTAGCTTCCAATTCAAGGAAATAAATTTGCTGTTGAAGATTCTTGATGTATTCAGATTCTATGCATAGTGATGTATTTTCCATTTCTAAAAGCAAAATGAAATAAAATAAAATGTAACTTATAAAGTTGTACTTCTTTTGATTTTTTTAAAAAAAGTTTTACTTTTATACTGTAATTAATTCTTACATGGACAGGATAGATAGAAGCTTAAAAGTAACGTTAGAAAGTATTACTTAGAGAAAGAGTAGTGGAAACTTGGAACCAATTTCCTGTGGGACAATCAGCAGTAACTGAGTTTAAATATGCTTGAGATAAACACATGTCCACCATCTGATAAAAATTAGAAAAATAAATAATAAAATAAAAACAGTAATAAATAATAAAATAAAACAACACCCCCACTCCCCTCAAAGGGCAGGCCTGATGGACTGCTAGGTCTTTTTCTGCCGTCAATTTCCTATATTTCTAGAGTTCTTAGATAGCCATTTTGATGCGATGCTCGCCAATGATGTGGAACAGGGAATTTTATTGTACTTTATTTTTACCTATTTGGAAAGCATTCATGGGGGTGCGGGGCGGATGATGTCAAAGCAAGCAAAATAATTAAAACACTGTTATGGGAGTTTTAAAGTACCCCCATGTAATTTTGTATCCATCCTTACAACTTTTCCCCTCTATATGAAAAAAATCAGCAGCATCTTCTAATCCTTGGGCCCAAGCTACAATCCTTACCAGATATTAAGTAAATTGTGCAACCACTGCATTAAAAAAAAAATCCCATTAATTTTTTTCAAGTTGCATCAAACAAGCCTTACAATAGTTCCAGATTCTCACAGTACTTAAAAATCTTTTAAAGATTTTTTTTCAGAACATTAATATTTATTTCAACTCTTCTCTTTGACCTATCACTACAATCTCTAATATATTTATTCCAGAATTCTGTCACTTCAAATTCAAATTATTTCCCCTTTTTATTTTCAATGCCATTCCTTTGGAGGCTTCTTGTTAGCTCCCAACAATCAATCTTCTATGTAAATGTTTTTCTCATACACAATTTCTTTTTATTACATCATGCCAACAAGCAGTCGTTTTCATACTCCAAATTAATTTATCAGATTTCCATGGCATTCTGTAAAATAATGTTTTTAACCTATGTTAAACAGCTTCTAAATCTATTTCCTTTCCATCTGGGAGCTTAATCTGTCTTTAAAAATTTTTTGACTTAAAAAGTAGAAATGATTTATACTTTCACTTTCTGCAGTCATTCTAATTTAATTCCATTTTGTACAAAGGTAAAATTTTCCTAAAGAAATACCTGTTCTATGGTCATAATCTCTCATCACCCTTGAATCCTTCACTAATTTTCTCAAAACAATTAAATCAACAATGATTTAAATCTATATTTGTCTGGAATGGTATAGGGTCTCCTGCATGAGCATGGAGTTGGACTAGAAGACCTCCAAGAACCCTTCCAACTCTGCTATTCTGTTATATTCATTCCCTTGCCATGTCTATGTATGAATTGAAACTCACATTTGAAAGAAACAGATTTTTTTCCCCTACAAAAAGTACCAACTAACCCACCTAATTCTCAGTCCTTAATGGCCATATCATTTACCTCTATTTATCAAAGTCATCTAAGAGAAAAATCCTTCATCACATTCATTCAGAATCAGGAATTCGGGGTGGGGGAGTCAAAAGTCAGGATGATGACCACAATCATATGATAACCATGGATTTTTACTTACATCCTGATTCTTGTAAAAAAATGGGCAGGGTTTTCATTGCACAGTTGCAACCACCACCTTGGCAAACAACCCATGCCCATATGGAACATTCTTTACCATTGATAAAGACAGTATCAGTCAGTTTTGGAACATTTTGTCCAAAAACAAGGCATTTCACAAAAGCCTAGTTTTACCCAAGTTTTCTCAAGCCATTCCATATAATTCAATAGGATCTCTACAATTCAACATACAATACTCATATGTCACTATCTATATAGTAGTATATACAGTGTATTAGGAATATACTCAATAAGAACCAGTTGGTGTAATGGTTAAGGCATCAGGCTAGAAATCAAAAGACTGTAACTTCTAGTCCCATTCTGGACACAAAGGCCGGTGGATGACTTTGGGCCAATCACTTCCTCTCAGGTTTCTGAAAAATCTTGCCAAGAAAATTGCAGGGTCTTGTTCCAGCAATCTCTGAGACTTGGACATGACTGACTGGAGCAGAAAATAAGCCAATTTACTCAGCAATAAAAATGTCCTTTCATTAATAAAAGTTATCACTGGAAAGCCATTGTTCACAAAATAAAAAATAAAATCAGAAGATGATTTTCCCCATTTTATAAAATGTACATTTTCGAATTGACATTGTAACCCATCTGCCCCAAATTAGTATTTTTTTAAATAATGCCATGGTGGCTTTTATGGATGGGGAGATATTGCTAAATGACTGGCACAAAACTATCACTTGAGTTTTGTGGCCAAATAAGAAACATGAATGTGAAATGTTCCAATCTGTCACTCTTCATCTCCAATCAGGTCCAACCACTAGCAGCTTTGCAGAAATGGTTTCATTATGCAATAAATTTATGAATGTCCTTTTGGAATATTTGATATTTCCTTTAAAAGGAAGTGGTAATATAAAGTGAATAAACAAGAGTAAAATTCTATACATATCTATTCAGAAGAAACTTCCAATGAGTTCCATAGGCTTTCTCCTTAGTTAAGTACAAGAGAATAAGTTGTTGCTGTTGTTGCTTTAATTGGACATATACAAATGCTCCCAATTTGCATTCTGGACATTTTCACTATAGATGTTTTGTTAAAAGCCAATAACCCTATCAAAAATCTTTCATTTTACTAAAAATAATGCAAGAGTATTCACTTAAAATTTATTGTTAATTTAAGAAGTTACGCCAGTCCCGTATAGTACTGATATTTTATACTACCCTGCTGTTGCAATTTTTTTCAAAATTTAATTTGTGCCCATTTCTGCTGATCCTCTATCAAACAAAATGAATATGTCTTTTAAGGAGAGGAAGGTTTACAAGTCAAATGAGGCTAATTTAAAGCAATAAATTAATACCAATCTAGTTAAATGATGATCCATTTTTAAATCTTTCCATCAGGATTGAGCTTGCAATCAGACCGTTTCTTATTTCATTCCCAAGTACTTCAGCCCCGTCCATAAATTCCATGGGGGGAAAAGGTTACAAGACACAGATTGAATCACTGCAACACAATTACTAGAAAGCTGGGCTCCCACAGATGCAAATGCACGACCCTTGGCCTACAAACCACAGTAGTTAAGCTACATTTAAGATGGAGCACCGGCCCAGTCCCTTCAGTCTTTAAAGTGGCTTATAATTTTGTTTGTGGTAAACCGCGCGTATTTTGCACCCTCCGTTTTTCCTTTGCGGTTTGTTTGGAAGGTTTGTTAATCAGGGGTGATGGACGAGCGGGGTTGCTTAAATCCAGCACGAGCAAATGAATTCAGAGAGGGTTCGTTTTGTTAACAGTTGCTATCGACACAACTTTCTCGGCATGGACGTCAATCAGTTCTTACAGAGCAGAAGCAGGCTTCTCTCGCGATTAACCGCAAGGAGTGAGCTGTTCTCTTGGAGCGCTTTCGGTCGCTCAAAACCAGGAAGGGCCGGCGTAGGGAAGGGCAATGGCAGGCACAGAAAAGGACCGAAACTCTTACCTTTCTGCAGCAAGTTCAGCTCTCCAGAAAAAGCCAATGCAACCGACTGGCGGCTCTTCGTCTCCACGGCAACCTCCAGGCACAGCTTTAGCCAACTTTCCTAGGAAGCCGAAGCCAAAGCCAAAACGCCAGAGGGCGGCAGCGGAAGCAGGGCCGGGCGGGGGATAAGCAACGAGAGAGAAAAGACAAGCGAGGAGAGCTAAATTGCCCTCGGTTTTGACGAGAGGGCAGGTTTCATCCCTCAATCTCCGCGATTTCCTTAAGACATTTGCAAAACCAAACAAGCCGGGCGTCGCCCTCAAAAAGCCGGTTCCTCGGTTCTGAAGTAAAGGTACTTCGTTGTCTTAGTCTATAGAGATTCTCAGTCATCCAGGTCGTGGTTGTCCCAAAGGTGCTTTTTTTAAACCAAGAGGCAAGAAATGGACTTTCTGGTTTTTCTTTGAAGACGTTTCGCTTCTCATCCAAGAAGCTTCTTCAGCTGTGACTGGATGGTGGGGAATGAAAGAATTTATATTAATTGCAGACAGCTGGTCATTTGCATTCTTTTAGAGGGTTGTTGAGGCACTTGGAGGTTTATCTGTGTCCTCAGTCACCGGAGTAGTGCTCCTGGTTCCTATATTCTGCAATTTTTCTGGAAATCCATTCCTACTCCCACACCATTCAAAGGGTGTTCAACCCAAATTGTCTTCTTAGTGTCTACTGAGATTCTGTCATCCAAGTCATGATTGTCCCAAAGGTGCTTTTTTCAGGTGGCATGGTTTTTCTTTGAAGAGGTTTCACTTCTCATCCAAGAAGCTTCTTCAGCTGTAAAGAATGGATGAGAAGCGAAATGTCTTCAAAGAAGAAAGTCCAGTTGCTTCTTGGGAAAAAAAAAGCACCTCTGGGGTCTTCTTAACACGAAGCCTGGCTTCCATAAAGTTGAGCTGCTCACTGGTGCAACCACTTTCAAATGGAAGGCCCTTTCCCTGAAATTGCAGGATTCTCCCACCCACCCACGTCACCCTCCAGGTGTTGTGGCAAAAAAGGCAGGTCTGCCCAGCTCAGATTTGGTGTCGTGTCCCATTTCCCCCTTGCTCCCCATGATCCTCAGGCAACTGAGCCAATTTGCTTCCACCTCGAGTATGATGGCAAATGAGCTCCAGAACTCAGCTGGCTTTGTCTCTTTCATCTCATCACAGGCCTCATCCCTGTACAGGTAGAATCAGCAACCCTTAGATGAGTAGTAGTTAAGTACAGGTAGTCCTCTACTTATGACAACAGCTGAGCCCAAAATTTCAGTTAAGTGAGACAGTTAAGTGAATTTCGCTCCATTTTATGGTCTTTCTTACCACATTTGTTAAGTGAATCACTGCAGTTGTTAAGTTAGTAATCCAGTTAAGTGAATCTGGCTTCCCCGTTGACTTCACTTGTCACGAGGGTTGCAAAAGGTGATCACATGACATTGGGATGCAGCAATGATCATAAGTATGAACCAATTGCCAAGCATCTGAATTTGGATCAAGTGACTATGCTGCAAAGTTCGTAACTGTGAAAAATGGTCATGTCACTTTTTTCAGTGTTGTAACTTTGAACAGTCACTAAATAAACTGTCATAAGTCAAGGACTACCTGTATGAACTGAATGCAAGCAATCCAAAAGTTTGCAGTTTCATCTGACAGTCTGGTCACGCTTTGCTTTGTCTTTACAATGGATAAAATAAACCTGAAGGAGTGCAGGACATTGTTCAAATTTAAACTCCTTGAGCCAGACTGAATAAATTGGGCACATTAAGCAGGTGAGAGTAAAAGGTATCCTTGCAAAGGAACAGGCATTCAGTTTCCTGTCTATGTTTGATGAAGTCACCATAAACAATCTGGTTAATGTAAAAAAATGCTGCCAAAGTACCAAGTCCCTCATCTTTAAAATATTCCTTGGTTGTAGCTTAGATTTTTTCCCTGCAGATCAAAGCTATGGCCTGTTTCAATGTTAATAATGTAGACTTTTCTAAAGCCTGCTCAACTCAGATATTAAGTGGAATGGCCACAAGATTTGAAGGTTGAATTGATTCCAATAATTATTAGCACGTTAAATATATTTTTATTGTAATTAAAAAGTGGAGTTAAAGCAACTGAGCTTCCTTCATTTAATATGCCGTGTGCTAAACCACATAGCTCCTTGGATTCAATGGCAAAAAGATGATTGGGGGCATCTAGAATTGTCCACCATCCTTATAGCAACTACACACAGAGATAAATCATACCACTCCAAATTTGCAGCCGGATTCCAAAAAAAGATGTACCTTGTAGAGATGCATGCTTCCAAGCAGCTTTTTCTCTTTGAATCCAAAATTCAATGTTTTAATAAATCACTACATTAAAAAGCCATTAAAGTCAAAATAAAATAGGTGTTTTTAATCAAATCCTGAAGAAACTTCTCATGTATAATTTGGATTGGTTTCGAAAGCATTTTTTTTGTTTCTGCTCTGAAGTGCTGACCAGTCTCATGTATCATTTTTAAAAAAAATCACTGTCACCTCCCCCCCCCAAAAAACACATATTAGTTTATTCTGTGGAATCTATGATTTTAGTCTCCTAAGCAAGCTGCAAATTAGAGACAAATATATCAATTATTTAAATCAATGTTAAATTTACATTATTTAAATAATGCCATATTTTTAATCCAGTTTCCAATTGAATATAAACAGAAGGACACAAGATCAGTAAGGTAGTCCTTGATGTAACACAAGTTCAGTCTGGTCAGTAAGGTAGTCCTTGATGTAGCAACCACAATTCAAAATTTCTGTGGCTAAGTAAGACAATTGTTAAGGGAGTTTTATGACCTCTCTTGTCACAGTTGTTAAGTTAGCAACAGGGTTGTAAAGTGAATCTGGCTTCCCCATTAACTATGCCAGAAGGTCACCAGAACACTGCATTGGTCATAAATATGAGCCAGTTGCCAAATGTCCTAATTTTGATCACATGACCATGGGGATTCTGCAAGTATCATGTTGAAAAAATGCTCGTCACTTTTTTCAGTGTTGTTGTAACTTTGAATGGTCACTAAATGAAAGGCAAGTCAAAGACTACCTATAATGCTGTTGCTTCAGTTGTATCTACCTAAGCTAAACTGGCACTTGCTATTTCTGTATTATTTTTCTCTAATCATTGGGGGCTTTTATTTCTCCAAATGTTGCCTACTGAGCATTTTTTACTCTACACTGAGCTTTGCGCCTCTTAGCCTCTCAGATCAAGTGAATGCACTTTCTACTGTAATGGTACAATTTAAGCATTTTATTAACACAATAGAAATATGTACATAAATATTTTCTAGTTATATGATATATAGTGATAAAATTTATTTTTGAACATTTGAGGAGGATGAAATAATCATAAAATAACCATTCACACCCTTTTGAGTGGCTGAAACCTTTAATACAACATGTAGTTTGATGGAGACACAATTTCCTATCATGGAGTTGGGTAGCTACCTGCAGAGATAACTCCAAGCACAATGTAGCTTATGAAAGTATTTTGTTGTAGGTATTAAAGACAGTAGAATACAGTGGAACAAGCACAATGTAGCATATGAAAATATTTTGTTGTAGGTATTAAAGGCAGTAGGATACATTCAATCACACTATTTACATTTTTGGAATGTGACATGTCAAATGTTATATGTACACTTAATATTAAACATTGTAGTATAGTACACTGAATAGTACAACCATTTTTCTGAACAACCTGAATATAGTACAGCTAAGCTTTATTAATTTGTGGCACTTTCCCATACAGCTATTAAGACCTCTCAGCTTATGCGTGTAAAACATCAGTGACCTGGAAAGTGAAGTAGGACTAAAATATCTTGGGTTACATTGCTTCAAAGTTAATCCAGCTACTGCTCAAAATTCTAACAAGAAAGGAATTTATTACAGAATAAATGTGATGAAATCTATGTTACTGCAGCTAAGTGATTTGATTCCATTGGCTTGCATATCCTGTGCATATCATTGATAGGTTAATCCTACAATATTTCTGTACACCAGACAAAACATTTGGAATCTTGCTAAGAAAAACGCTGGAACAATTTGACACGTAAAATGGGTAATCAACCAAAGCAGTGTCTAAATTCAAAACAACTAACTTTTCCTCTACACACTGGTACTGCATTTAAATGATCAGACTCTCTGGATATTTCCCTAAACTTTCCAGATTCCATAAAATATCAAAAGGACAGCAATCATAAAAAGGATATCTAGTACTGTCTGTTGTGCTCTTGAAGAATGAAATGCTTGATCAATAAATCTATTTTGAAACAATCTTGTTTTGAAGTATCAATAAAATATAAAAACATTTTATCCATGGATTATCCCAAGTGCATAAAACTAGAGAACAGACGGCATAGACCAGTCTTGGCTGCTTGGATTCCTGATTTTGCAATGTTGATTAGTAACAGGAAAAATTTACACATAATTGTTTGAGCACAGTACACTACTTGGCATCACCAATTCCATTTGTATTCAGCTGAATGTTATTAGAATTTTATTGCAGACTTAATATGCAATAAGGTTCTGAAAAGCATTCGAGAGAAATACTCTGCAAAATGTGTTGGCACAAGTGAAGCATACTCAAAACTATTAAAGCAGCTGCATCCTTTGTAAAGAACGCAAAGAAAAGATGACTGCAAGCCTGACAGTATAGCGGCTTAACTGCAAGTCCAAAGTGGGTGTGTGAATACTTCCACTGGCTGTACCCATGCACAGAAACTATGGACAGCCTTCAAAAGGATGCAGCTATCTTTCAGCTTTCAGTTTCTTCATTCGGTTTGGCATGGTCCAACTACCCTTGTCAAAGAATTACTGAAAAGGGTTACACACAGAAAAATATAAGCAGGAGATAAAAATACATTTTTAGAATGGTTGCATATTCATACGATATAAAGTGGAAATATTTACTTAACTTCATATGCATATTAGGCTTTTTAACAATTAATTGAGATTACAATGTGTGGTGACTTACCTTGTAATAATTGCTTATTTAAAATGGTGAAAACTAAATCTGCAATGAAACAGGCATCAAATCAGGCATTTGTTTTAAAATGTTTATTAGGCTAACATTGCTATGAAAGTTAGTGTGCAATTTAAAAAAAAACACTATATCTCTGCATATAAATATCCATATATTGCATGCCCAATATACAGTTTTTAGATCAAATTAATACAGTCTGTACATATTTATTGTGATTGTTTTTTTCCCTCATCTTAAGCACAAATAGTCATGAAGATCAATGGAAAACAAAAACAAAAGTATTCTTTATGCTTCCAACAATTAATCAGCTGTTACTGATAACACTAGTTACTGGATTTGCTTACACCATAAATAGCATTCAGTTTTCAAAACAGAAAATGAAAGACACGATTGTAACTGAACAATCAGTTCAGTTTATGGTAGCCAATTTTTTTTTAAAGTTAAACCTTCACTTTGTGTTGGAAAGTCCTGTCCAGCAGGACATACATTAGCAGGACATACATTAGCAGGAGAATACTTTCCTTTTGATGCACAGTCTGTTTAATTAAGGTATGGTCTACATTCATCAGGACATGTTTATTTCAATACATGTAGTACATACGCAAAGAAACTGTAGAGGCCATTTTGAAATCAAAAGGCACTTGCTTAGAACAATATAAAACATTTTAGATGTAGCTTCAACAGACATGAACAGGAATTAATAGCCACTGGCATTCTAATGTAAATGTTCAGAAATATACTGGGAAAATATTGCCTCAAATTTGTTAGTGAAATACATTACAAAGCTGTAACACATTTGAGCCTAGAAAATATATTATTTATTAATATGCTAAATCTGTATCTAAAATATTATAGATGAATCATTGTCATAAAAGTTGAATGGCTATTATCCATTGATAACAGCACAAATCTCTAAATGGAAACCCCCTGTAAAGAAGCAGTTTGATAATATGCCTGGGACAAGTAATAATTATTTTGTTTATGTTCTGACCTCTGTATTTAAAAAGCATTACATGTTATTGGAAAAAAATTCTTGGACCAAATGGAACTTCAGCCTCAGCCATCAAGTTCGTAAATAAAAATAGGATGACATAGGCAAAGATTAATTTCAATAAATACAAATATAGTACATTCCTCCAGTACTTAGTGAATTTGCAAACTCTAGATCTTGGATTATGAATAATTATCATGCTTCAGAAGGACAAGTTTTTTTTCATGTAAACCTACTATGAAAAAGTAATTGGTATAGTGGAATCATGGGTGGCAATGATGCTGAAAAGGCCAGTGCAATTCTACAATTTCATTTCTCATTTTATGAAGCATTTTCTCCATTAACTGGCATAATGGAAGATTATACAATGTACGCTATATTATTGGTAAGTTGCTTACTTTTAAAACTTCCATGCAAAGAAGTGATTTTATGCTAAAAGTGAGAGTTGTTTAACTTGGATTAACAGGATATAACAAGGAATAGGAAGATTAACACTTATCAAATTTACTTTTGTTCATGTTCTTCATTATTATGAAAATACAGATGGAATATTTTGAGTTTTCAGGAGAGATACCAGCCATAGGAACAATTTCATATGGAAGTCTCAAATTTAAGATAATTGAAATTTATGGGATCAAATAAAACATCTTACTGAATATTTCTAGGTAAATATTTAAACATGAATATACACAGCACCACATTATTCAGAAGATGGAAAGGAATAAACCTGCGCTCTTAGGATGAAAAATATTTTTGAGCAAAATGTGGGTATACCTCCTTTTTTAAAGTCTATCTTCCGTCATCTAGTGGCACTTACCCATGCAGAAAAAAATGTAATATACAATTTATCATTTATCTATCATCTATCTGTCTGTCTGTCTGTCTNTCTATCATCTATCTATCTATCTATCTATCTATCTATCTATCTATCTATCATCTCTATTATCTCCCTACCAAACAGAGACACTCATACAAAGAGGGCTCATCCATTGGAAAAACACTTGTTTAATTATTATTATATTACCTTCTATTCATATTTTTTATCATAAGTTGTTCTTTTAGGAAAGAACAACTTATGAATAGGGGCCTTTAAAATTTCCAGGCAACGTAGCAGATTTTATACTTGAGACCCCAACATCTTGGCTCTGTGGAAAAATAGTGTGTTTTAAATCTCAGTACCTTGGTCACCTATTTCTCTCTCACACACACATAACAGGAAAAAAGGTTTATGTGTGTGTGTTCTGAGGTGATATGTTCTTATCCTAATGAGTTTTACTGAATAAATGTCACCTTTATTTTACCTCAAATTTCATTAAAGGTCAAGAAATCTCACTCAGGGTTGCAAAATCTCTGCTTAATATTCATTCTCCATGGTTTAAATCACTTTAATGGAACTCCTGAATGTCTCTAATAACCCCCAGTATTATTAAAAATGTTCTTCACATCCACTTCATACAGAAAACATGGGTTAGAGGTTAAAAATTGCAGATGTATCCAGCTTTCCTCCCTCTTTCAGTAAAAATTGTATCGTATTCCTGAAAACTGATCCTGACATGAGAGATCCTTCCAGTTATTGGGAACTACAGAATGGGCAGGAAAGATTAACTGCAACTAAATTAAAGTCTTTAACAAACTTTTATAGATGATTACAGAAAAAGAAAAATAGAGACATTGATTCTGAAACCAGAGGAGAACACAGGTGTTTTTTATTTTATTTTTACCATAGGAAGGGTACTGTTTCAGATTTACTGTGTGTCAATTAGTCCACCACTTCCTTTCATAAATAATCTTTATGATTTTTATAATCAAATAAAATCTATTACAGCACAAAAGTACATATAGGTCCAAATGTAATGTTAACACATACTAGGTTGTTTAAATAAATCAAAACAAACAAACCACCTTGCCTTCTCACATAGTCAGGATTTCATATGCAACTTATTTGGAAATGTTATACAAACAGAGAAGCTATGAAGTTAGCACATAACATTGGCAATGCATTAAAAAGATTGTGGATGCCACACAGGGGAAAAAAGACATATTTACTCTTTTGTCCTTGAAACTTCTGTATATGACTGCAAGTGTAAATTAATGTTCTGTGTACTCAGTAATAATTAGTACTCTACAGTTTTCAAAATTCTGTATTCAGATCCTATTGCCATACAAAATACACCTCAGAGAAGCAAATGGGTAAAGCAACAACTTACACAGTTGACATCTCTTGATGGGAAATGAAGTGATCTCCTCCCATGAGATAGAGTTGATCAGTACTATCAGATCTGATGCCACAGAATTATTATGCGTGTCATGGAGAGTTTCCTTCTCTAGCATATTTTGCTAATACTAAGACACATTCAGAAAGATAACACAATTATAGAAGCCCTTTAAAGGCATAAATCAGCACTGCTGGAGGGAAGTATAAATGGATGATGTATTGTCATAGATTAACGTCAGCAAAACAAAATGTGTTCAATAATTCATCTGCTTTTTTCAATATGTCAGATCCATCAAATTGTAGTGCAGCTTTCTCTATTTTTAACAAAAACTTTGAATGCCATCATCTTTAGAAAAAAAAACAGGCAAGCATCAATATAGATTATCAATCATTACGCCACCTAAAGCAAAATCATATTTCTTATAATTTGCTGAAAGCTGTACCAGAAAGGCAGTAGTGTTACATGACTACATCTTATTTTTTTAAATCTATTCATTACTTTGATATAGACAACACATTAAATGAATAATTCTAAAGAAAGTGCTTTAGAAATATAGAACTGTAGCCAATATGTAGCCAAGAACAGCACTGTATTATGATTATGATTTTTATAAGGTAACTTCGTTTACTGAAAATGTCCAAACATACCACAATAGTTTGTATAATCAGAGAAAGCCTATTTGCTGAAACCAAACACAAGGCAAATATCAAAAGGAGCCAGAATATTAGTGATTTCTCCATTAAGATGAAATCCACATGCAATTTAGTATTTTATTTTAAATGCAAATACAATTCTATTTGGCAAATATATATATTAAAAAGCACTGGATAATCTAATTTCCTGGGGTTGACATATTTAGTTATACAGCAATCAGGACCTTAGAATAAATACTTGAGTGGCACAATATCATTCAAGCTTTTCTATTTTTCACTGTCAAACTAAAAAAGAATTATATTCTAAAAAGGAAACTTTTAAATAATTTAAATATTTCAAGTCTTTTGCTTTGATAAAGTCACATTATATAAATAAAAATATTAAAGATGACTTCCTTACTATAAATAAGGAAAGACTGGAGACATTGGGAACAAAAGTAATTTAAACTGGAGTAACTTTTCTCAGAAAAGCACCAAAGAACAAGCCAGAAATTGTGAAAGAGAAACACAATATTTATAATAGTCAAAAAACATTTCAGAAAAATACAATTTTCTCCCAGAAGCAATCCATAATTATTCAATGATTATTAAACTGAACATGTTCACAGATACGTAGTTAAGGCTAACTAAAGTACAATTTGCAAAGATTAATCTTTAATAAACACTTTATAGAAAGCAGCTAATGCATGTTTTTTAAATGGGATAGTATAAATTCATTTTGGGGTGAATTTACTAAAGGATTTGACTGAAATATTTCTTCAAGCAGTATGTTTAGTGTTAAAAGTTAAGAATTAAAATGGGAATAAAGCTTCAATTTTAAAATTCTTACAGGCCCAAGTAGCATACATATTTGTGTCTTTTGTTTATTTTAATATATCAACTTTTTCAATACTATCCAATTTATATCCAAGATGCCATTTTTAAAAAAAAGGAAAACAGACATGCATATTATCCAGCAAAATTAATCCACTTTTGGATTCAACGTTCGGCTTCCATAAATGAGATTATCTTATATGGTCCCAAATGTGCAACATGAATGAAAAAGACTGCAGCATTTCATAAGGGTCCACTCTGATTGTTCAAATGCAGAATTTGTACGCAAAATCACTGATTGTTATCTCTATCAAGACCTGATGGTATTCTAGCCAAATGGGTTAGCTGATAAGCATTTATTTTTGCACATAATTTTCTCTTAAATATGAAGCTTTCTAGATAAAATCCAAGGATTACTATATAAATAGTATGTTTCACAAGGATAAAAGAAGGGGGGAAATATGGAAGCATTGCAGGAAAAGATAATTCTTAAATCAAATGGAAGCCTCAGCATTCCTTTAATGTATTCCGCACTATAAACATCAAATCCAATCATAACGTGGATGTCTGAATGTTAGTAATACAAAAATGTTTTCAAAAAAGCATCTGATATTATAAGGAAGGACTAAAATCCCTGAGTAAATCAAAGACAATAGATACGTTTGGCCTGAGAAAACAATTATTTGGGATTAAGTATACAATCTTAAAAAAAAAAGTTTCTTAAGGCAACATTCAACTTTGAGAAACACAATAAAAGAAAAACATATTAAGCTAAAAACATATTAATGATATATAGTTGAATGCAGATTTGTGTTAACAGCGGACCCATTGAAATCAAATTATCTAAAGTAGTTCTAACTAATTTAAAGGCCGTTAATTTCAACAGATCTAATCTTATTTTTTAATAAATAAAAATTATGTTAAAATGCAATGTCTCCCAAAATCAGTTTAATTTTAATGGATGAAAAGGCAGCAGTAAATTTGGGTATTATTTGGAATTAATAGAAAATGACTGATGCAAAACATAATTTAAAGTGAAAATATTTAACAAATTAGAGTCATTAGTTTACTTCAACAATGAATATAGATTATATATTACAGTTGATTTTATATCAATCAACAAACTGCTCTACTTAAGAAGTTTTGCTAAAATGTGTACATGTTCCCTTCCTGTACAATGCATGGAGCCTATTAGCATTAGTATAACCTGAATTCAAGAACAAACAATTTGCAAAATAGCCATTTTCAATAATACTGTCTTACTTTTTTAAGGATCTCCAATAGTGAAAGAAGCATTAACACCTCAGACTGAATCATCCTGTCTGTAGAATGCAAATGGAAGTCTCAACACTGACTCATAGAAATGGAAAAGGTGATTTGGCCTCTCTCACCCAAGCCAAACAGACACAGAGAGGGGGGGGGGGCAGAGAGAGAGAGAAAGAAAGAGGGAGGGAGGGAGATTGCACTTGAGCTGCAGATCTTCAATGAGTGAAAGATACTTCCTCTCACTGTAGAACTACTTCAGTGACTTAAAGGACGCTTTTAAAATTCAGTTCCTAAGGACTAACTGCATACCATGTTCCCCTTTTCCCCAACATTCTCTTCTATATTACCCTGGACAAAACAAAACAAAAACTTTAAAAAAATATCCTTGATTTTAATTCCTAAACCTGTTAGCCTATTATCATTTTTAAATTTTAAATCCAATCAATGGTTATTATTTTAAAAGCAAACCAACAAGAAAAACAAAAGGTTATTTGGCTAACTACTCTTGAAGTCAAACAAATGTACAATTCGATTTTACTGTAACAGCTTTTAAGAAACTTAGAATTTTACTGGGAATCAATTTAATCTCTTATATTTGGTATGTGTATATGGGTCAATTTAGTTATATAATAACCTACTTTATGACACTTGGTGAACACCAGAGAACTGTAGAGAAGCATTAGCATGCTGAGTCCATACAAAAACAGAGATTTCACCTGGTAGTCATGATCCTTCCCAACTTTTAGGGATGAATCATGATATGGCAGACTAATCAATAAGGTCCACATTTTCTCTTCACCATTATGAAGAACCAGACCAACTGGCACTGAGTTTTAATTGGCCTTATATTAAGAACCTTTTTCTGGAACTATAGACATTCCTAGATGTTCCTAGGGAAGAACTGGAAACATAGTTTTAGACAAACTGATACAGTTTGGTGGAAATGTAATATATGTTGATTTCTTCAGAGCAAAGTATTACTATAATGGACTGAAGAACACTGAAGAACTATCTGAAGGAAGATTATTTCATTTCCTAGCTCTTCAAAACATTTTTATTTCTGTGGCATACTAGGTTATGATCATGCTACTGTCTTGTGGTGTGGATATGTATGGCAACGCTTGCATTGCATCAGACACTACAGAACAATCATAAAGAGCAGGTTTTTGTCTTTCTCTAAGTCAGATACAGTGAATTGCTTATACAATTCAAAACACTGTAAATGGATGACATTATCTCCCAAACATCCAAGCTAATTTTTCCAACTTTTTAAACAGTAGTAAAGTATGAGATATTGATGCTGGTCTAATCATTTCTTATTTCTATTCTGCATATCTGTCAACAGCTAATAATATGGTTCATTATTAGGTAAAAAAATCACATCTAAGACAATTATTGCATTCAGCACCAAATGGATCCAATCATCATACTGTTGATGACCACAGTAATCATTTAAAGTAACACTTTTAATCAACTGCCAGCATGAAACCAAACTCTGAAGTCACCTTCACTCAAATTGTTTCTGCAAAAGTTCCAGAATTATTGTCAATAACTAGGGAAAATGTTGCTGAATTATATACTCCTTTCATGAGCTCATCAGTAGATAGGCATTTACAGTGCAGATATAAGTGTTCAAGAAAGAAGAGCTGAACCAAATCTTAGGCAGTTGGGTTGGGAGTCAAAAAAACAACAACTTCTGAGGCCCCAGGTCTGAGCAGAATTCTGGCTTGTCTTTAGTAGTGTACAGTGCAATAGGAATATGGCAGATGGCCCCTAATCTCCGCCAGAGCTGTGATATCAAGATAGTTAACCAACACACTATTGCTGTGTTGCTGTTATTTTGCATAAGCCTTGCAGAATCAGCTCCATTCAGATTCACAACTCCTCACTCGTACCAGGGCATTTCAGTTTGTGGTCTTTTCTTCTTCTTTTTACAAAGGCAATAGATGGGGAATACAAATAAACCTATTAAAAACAAGAGGAATCATTGCATTTTAAACATATGCCCACAGTATCACTGTACAGAAAATTATGAACTGGAATAAACGTTTTATGGTAAAGTCAAGCAAAATTCAATAGCAGTGCATATAACTTGTTATTCTCCAGTATTTTCATATGACTCATATGACTAGACTCAAATTATCTGGACATATTATGTGAATACACAGCTCTCTGGAAAAGGCTCTGATGATGGGAAAAGTGAAAGGAAGGAGAAGATGATGACAAGGTGGCATGGCAGGGTGAATGGACTCAATTATAGGGGCAATGAGTACACCATTGGGAGACTTGAAAAAACAAGTTATGGATAGATCATCATTAAGAAAATCTATCAAGGTGATCGGCTAGGAACCATGATTGATGCCACAAAATAAGAAAATGCTTGCTTCAGAGTACTGAATTTTAGAGCAACGTTCTTTATTCAGATTTCTATCACTCTTCTTTCAAGAGCTCACGGTCATTATACAGCACATTTTCCTGCAAAGTCTTCCCAAAACCACAAGTGACTTAAACTGGACCAGCCTAAAATCATCCAATGGGTATATACATGGCTGAAGGGAACATTGATTTGTGAAAGCATGAATAAAAATGATAATTCCAAAATAGCAACAAAAATGCAATACTAAAAGTAATTACATTATAAAATATAAATATTATAACATTATAAAAATAAAAAGTTGGAAAATGAAACCATTTTTCAAGTCTTTGTCATAGACCTAATTCAAGAGTAGGACATCTTTTTTCAACTTCAGCATATTTAAATTTAAAGAGCTGAAAAAATAAAATGAAATTTCTGGATTTTTGCAATGTATGTTGTGTGTTGGCGAACCTTTTCAGCACTGAGTGCCAAAACAGGAGCATGAGTGTGTGCAGTGCTGGAAACCGGAAGAGCAGCTGCCTAGTGTGTATGCCCACGCCTGAAACCGGAACAGCAGCTTGTTTTCACACATGCATGCATGCTAGAAATTGGAAGATCATCTTCCCAGTGTGCACATGCGCATCAGGAGGCTGCTTTTCCAATTTCTGGTGCTCCTGTGCACGTGAACACCAACTGGCTGGCGCTCCGGAACCCGGAGTAGCAATGGGTGATAGGTCATTTACCCAGAGAGATAGCTGTGTGCCACTCCCAGCACGTGTGCCATAGGTTCATCATCACAGATATAGACAACTAATACCTTTAATCTGTCTAAGAATAGTATTTGTTAACAAAGATAGTTAGAAATGAATAATATTGATATTTGCAAACAATTTGTAAACATTTCAGAAATTTTACTCTTGGAGTGGCATTTGCAACTGTACTAGTAATTAACTGAATGCCACTGTGGAAATTATGCAAATGAAGGCATTTGAAGGCAGTTAATAAGCAAGATATTGCCTATATACCTAAACTTAGATAAATTTACAGAATGTACCAAAAAAATCACTCAACTTCGCCCCCATTACTGAAGATATCTTTTTTAAAGTTTTGTCTTGGTAAATCTAGCAATATCCTTTTTAAATACATGAAGTGCAAGGCTTTTTTAAAACAGTGTAACAATCAGATTTTACTTTATCTGGGATCTCTGACATGGCATCTGGAGGTGAAATTTATCCACAGATTACCATTAACACCTACCATTCCCTCAGTTTTATCTTAAAATAAAAACAATCTACAGAGAGAACAAAACTGTTGTGCTTCAAAGTGAAGTGCCATCTTCCAGCATCATCTTTATTTCCAAGAAAGTAAAAATGATTAGGGAAAGTACGTTCTCTGGAAGTATGCCCATCTACTCAGAAAATGAATACAAATCAGAGCAATAGGCTTTATTGGCATGATAGGTAGATTCTGAAATGGGGTAATAGCATGCGTGGTAACCACTGTGGGTGGACAAAGCCACCATTTCATTTCAAGATTTATAAGGCTGCCCAACTCAAGACAGTGTGACTCTAACATACAACATCCATAACAGGTTTTCATAATTCCAAACATATCTACTCACTGTGACTTAGCTTCTGATATTCAGAAGAGAATTTTACAATGTGCTGTTCGCTAGTGTTTTCAATGATTCCTGCTGAATTTATTTATTCTAACTTGTGACTTTTCTAAAATTTACGGTACTTTCATATAATGATAGGAAGAAGATAGCAGTTTCAACTAAATCTATTGGGAAACAGAGTAAAGGTACGTTGCAAGAGGAAGAAGAATCAGAAAAACAGTCATGATCTACCTATACCACTGAAATGTTACACTGGACCAGAATTCATGAAAACCTAATGTAATCTAGATGAATACAATCAGTGTTAAAATGGAATTATGTGAACTGTTACTTGCAAATATTAAATATAATCAATACCTGTCTTCCAAATGTGCAGTTACTGAATTGTAGGATGTTATTTATAAGTTATTTATCTATAAATAGATAAGGTTGAATTTCAGGAGATAGAAAGTGTGTTAATTGTGCTTTTAATTGAGTTTCCAGATCTCAATGTCAGATATCTCTGAAATCTTTCGTTTTCCCCCATTTATAATTTCTTTGAATTTGATATGTTCCAGAGTTTGAAAATTATGTAATTCAAAACATACCTTTTTCTCTTACCTATTAGAACAACTACAGCTCCTACTACCAGTCCCAAAACCAGTATTGCTGGTGCAATAAGTAACTTCCCACCTGAAAAATATAATTTTTTTACAGATTGTGAGATATTTCAAACCATGCTATTTTAATTTCTGCTGGGAATAAATTAATAAAAATAAATGAACAAACATTAAGAGCCAAGGTGGCGCAGTGGTTAAATGCAGCACTGCAGGCTACTGCTAGATCAGCAGGTCAGCGGTTCAAATCTCACCGGCTCAGGGTTGACTCAGCCTTCCATCCTTCCGAGGTGGGTAAAATGAGGACCCAGATTGTTGGGGGCAATATGCTGACTCTCTGTAAACCGCTTAGAGAGGCCTGAAAGGCCTACGAAGCGGTATATAAGTCTACTGCTATTGCTATTAAAAATTTAAGGAATATGCATACCATTCACTTACATGAGAAAATGCTAAATTGTTTTCCCTTTTGTGAAAGCAATTATAGTATATACCCCTTAGTGAAAAAAATTTATGCAATTTATGGGCCATCCAACTCCAAAGGCTGGCAATCGCTGCTTCATAAATCTAACTGCAGTTGCACACAAGCAAGTGAATAACTAGATTATGGGGATAAAATTGAACATCCCTTATCTTCTCAATGGAAACTACCCTTTTTCTAGGATTAAATTTCATAATTACTCATAACATCAAAAACCACACTATTAATTCAACATGGTTTCTTTTCTCTCTGAAGAAAAGAGGCTAAGAAGAGGGTAAAAGTGCCAATCAGAATCGACTTCATTTTTTCTAAAGAGTACCGTATTTTTTAGACTATAAGATGGTGTATAAAGTACACCAAGATTTCAAAGAGGTAAGTAATAAAAAAAAAGTTTTTTCCTTCCCTTAGTCCCCAGCAGCAATCTGCAGGTTTCAGCAGGACTGGGGCAAGGCAAAAAAGCCTCAGTTTTTCGCAAAAAATGGGATGCAGGAATGGGGCTTCAGGAGGCCAAAAATGGCTGTATTTGGTGTAAAGATGCACCAACATTTCCATGCTTTTTGGCGGGGGGAGGGGTGCGTCTTTTACTCCGAAAAATATGGTAGTTTAGAAACACAGTATGTATGAAATAGATGATCATTAGCACCTGTTTGTTATAATTGGTTAATCATATGCCTGACTCCAGTCCTACAAAATCCTTGACTTTGTGCAAGTGTAAGAATTGATGCTATTTTAAAGGCAAAGGGTGGTCACACCAAATATTGATTCATTTACCTTCCATTTTGTTAATCAATAAAAATAAACTATTAACACTTCTGTTTCAGAAAGCATTGTTAATTTATAGGATTTTTGCACAACTGTCTAACACTGTTGCGCAGTACTGTACACCCAAGATATTTGCACTTTGCAGAACAAATCTATTGCCTGTCAAATATGACCTGTGCATATTTATTCCAGGTATGAGTCAAAAATTAAACACTGATTTCAAGGAACCACATTCAAATAATTGAGCAAGTCACTGGCAGCTGTTATTAGTTTTTTTTTATTAACACATGGTCATAAATTTCAGCATTCTAATTGAATTTTAGTATATTAACTCATATTTTAAAAATGTGGTGTTTCTCTTCCACCGTTTATTATTGTTTTTACAATACAAGTGTATGCCCTTAATTCTAAATAATTCCAATGAAATTGCAAACATAACTTAATGTATTACTAGTATCTTTAATGCAGTTACAAAGTACATTTAGCCTACCATATTAAAGTTCTACAAATTTATTAATGGATTCCATCTCTCTCTCTCCCCCTCCCCACTCCCCTCACAGCTTTCATACATAATCATATGGGTTCGTGGTTGTATGATCTCTCTGGAATCCACTATTGTAATATTACTGTTAAAAATAGCCCCACCTCTATTAGTCTTTTACTGCAAACAGAAGCCTTGCAACATTTTTCAGGGTGACACATTTATCCTTGTACAAAGTAAGGTAAGCCCACATCTTGGCATTCAACCAAGAATTGGCTGTTCTAGAAAGTTTTGGGAGATTGATGATATGGACCCTGCCCTTGCAGTAGGCAATTGCTGCTGTAGGACTCTTCCTCAATGGCTAGAACAGAGGTGAGTAATTACTTTTCCCATTGGTCCACATGAGAAACTGGGGCTGCCAGCGCCTTGCCCTACTCAGATGGTCAATCTGTGACCATTTGTGGGCTGGATGTGGCCCATGGGTTGTAAAAAGAACAGATCTGGACTAGCAAATTAACTGCTACTAGGGTCCGGCAGTCTTATTTTGTTTCCCCCTCTTAATTCTTCAATTTTACTTTTCTATTATGGGACATCAGTCAGAGCTTGACCACAAGAGTTTGTGCAATAAATGAACACGCTAGTGTTTTAATTATCTGATTTTAATGAATATTCTCAAGTACAATATTGTACTTCTCAATGTTAAAATTATAAACTTACAATGGAACTGTCTGAAGGTGTATGAGTTAAAAAAATAAGAGGGCAGTTTTTGCATGTTCAAATGACTCTAAGTATAGAGGTAAAAGTTTATAAATTAGAACAGAAATTTTAAACATCTATAAACATCTACCCCAATTGCTAGCTATGGCCTAAATTTCCAACATCACATCCACAATTCTATCATGGTGCCTCTCTTGGTGATAGCCAAGTTTCACTTGATTTACTAATTTATTTTACATCCATTTAATTGAAAAATAATAATTGGTGGAAAGTTGGCATATTATTACAAAAGTACCAGCTTCAGGCAGAAATGCAGGCTATTGGCTCTGCATAGATCACAGAAATATTCTTAAAAAATAAAAAAAAACACCGAGTTTTATATGAAAATATGTACAAGTACAAGTTTATTGTTTAAATCTATTGATGAGACACAGAATATAAATTAGCCAGATAAAAGAGGAACATAGTACATAACTCACAGCCATAGTGAGTTATTTTGAAAGAGGAAAGAATCACAGTTGGTGAAATGTAAACTAATTCTTTATATAATATAGATCAATCTTTTCTTTTTCTTTCTCCTTTTATATATAAGATGTAAATAGAATTTTAAAATATGTCCATATGAGATGTGGAAGCAAAATATCACCCCTTCTACCTTTTGCAATGCTTAATTTTGGATAAGAGGTTTACTCCATTTCTATTGATGATGACAGCTTTGTATTTTTTTTTAAAAAAAGCTTAAGCTTACATGGCAAAAAGTTTCTCAGTTTGAATATTTTTATTTCATTTTCATTTTCATTTTCATTTTC